TAATAAGTAGTTTTTAAACTGTTAATTAAATCACTTGAAAAGTCCAAGCAGGATTTTTGATTTTACGATGATTCGGCAACACACGATGACGCATCGATCGATTGTAATGATTAGAAAAAATAGGGGCACGATGACGTCACCCTAGTCATCAACTTTGCGGAATTACGTACTACAAAAATCTCGTCTTCCCTGTTTACGAATCGACTGCTAGATTTCTGAAATTTTTGTTAAAGAAACATTTGATACATTAAGGCGTGCAAGCACACCATCAAAAACAATCATCGATTATTATCAATTAATTATTGTAAAAAATCACAGCTAAAATGGAACTTATCAACTAATATCAAACCTTTTTTAACAAACACGGCCGTATTATTAAATTTGCCTTTGTTGGTTATTCTCTGAGAATTGCATTGAAACGTGGATTATTGTTAATGACAACATGGCGACCGACCACACCCTAACCGTCGGCCATTTTGTCTCGAAACGTGTTGACGTGGAAGTTATATTTAGGTAACGGCATCATACTCGAATTCTCTGCAAATTAATTAACAATTTGATACCAAATTAATGGTCTAGCGTGCTTGCTAATGACAATTTTCCGTGTTGATACGATGTTAAATTTTGTTGCTTCTAGCATTAGCTTGCACCTGAATATCATATTTATAAAAAGCTAAGCGGGCTTTAAACGAATTTGGAATTTATATGGTTAACGCTTTATCAAAAATTATTTTGAAACCACACCTTATGTTCCAAATTGTTTAGTCAAAATATGAATATATACTTAAAAACTACGCAATTCAAAATCTAAAAGAAAAATTTTAGGTAATAGGTATACAAATCCTGTTTGAGCCCAGTGTACACTCCCATACGTTGAAGCAGGCCTGCTTTACCATGATGCTGCTGGATGATGGGTATCACTTCACTAACTGTTGTTTTCGTGGCACTACATTCAACTTTGAGGTCGAACTTGGAGGGTTTAGAGTTTATATAGGTTCCGGTCCCCACCAAGTTGTTCTAGAACAATTTGGACTGTTCCATTCAGTTGACTCTCCTCGTGCCTCAAAAGATCGTTAAACAAATTTGCTTAAACATTCTGTTCGTCATCTCTCTCTATCTCTTTTTCAATAGAAAATATGTATAACTGCCTCTCTGTCTCGAGCTGATGTTCAGCAAACTGCTATCGAATTTGGTTCTGGAAATTTCCAGGCGTTCCCAGTTTCCTTTGTGTACTTATCAGAAACATGGACGGTTCTATTTGCTGCATTGCGTTTTATTGATCCCTCAACATTGTATACCGAAGAAATTATGTTATATGACAATATTTTCATGTAAATTGCAATTAACAAAATACATATGCATATTATTACTTGCTACGACTTGGAAAATCATAATTTAAAATAGCACTGTAATTTTTAGCCTTTTTTTATGCGTAATTATGAAAATTTCGATGTTTATTTTTATTATTGAGTCAATATTTTAATTACTTTTCACATTCGCTTTATATGAAGCACCTCCATATACTGAACGATCATAAAAATAATTCAATTCGAAAAATCACAAAATAGATTTTACACAAATTATCTAAATATTGAACAATATCTAACTCATAATCCATTTTAACCTTTTGTAGTATCGACCACCACTTTAAAAAAAATTTCCGATTTCCTGATTTTCCCTGATCGTAACTATAAAAATTTTTTTTCAGGGTGTACACGCTTCATTCTATAAAGATATAATCAAACTTTTTTTCTGTTTAGCTAAAAACATTTTCCTTTCAACTTGTTCATGGGGAAACTCAGTTCACAGTTTGCGACATGTTTGCCCTTGATTATAGTTATCTCTATACGGTAAGTATGTGACACTAATGTCAACGATTGGGTATTTTTAGGTTTCATAAGCGTTAGATTGTTCTTTATAAATACCATCCAAAAATAATAGTCTAGGTCAATTTATAGTTCACATTCCTAACCTTAAGGGGAAGAAAATCTTGTTTTGGATTGTGCACCTCTTGGTTAGTACATATTACAATTAGTCTTTTAATATTAAGAGAACACCAAAAGAGTTGCCAATGCTATTGATCTTTTCTTGTTGGCAATATTTCAACATGTTTCATGAGTAATTTTAGTATCACTCACCATAGGTATAAATATTCTAATGTCAAATTAACCGCCTACATGAAAAACTATATGCTCATGGATAAATTTAGAGGTGAAGCAGTGGAGTAACTATCGATTTTTCATGTATTCCATGGATCATGGGCCTCCAAGTTACAAGGCTTGATGGGCACTTCGAATGTTTGAAAAACACTGCTGTTGATATGGCAAAAAATTACTTAAATTCATCAACTTTCTCTCGAAATAGAAAGCATCACGTCCGTCGCCCCAAAAGACATTTAGACAAATTGAGGCGACATCATCAGATTAAATGTAATGACAATTATCTCACAGTCGATACATTTAAACCAAACTTTTGTACATGAACGCAATACCGATTTGAGAAATATTGTGAACGATTTTAGAATAATTTCAACAGCTTTTTTGAGAAATTCATATAATGACATTTTCTGTACAGGTTAAGAGTTTAGTAGAAGTTGGGGATGATGTTTTTCAGACAATTTCTGTTGTCTTTCGAAAATAATTACGAAATGATGAATTCCGTTAGGAAAATTTGGATTTCATTCTTACAATTACTATTAAACTTATAATATAATTGTAATTACAAAATGAATTTATTCATCAAAATTTGCGATTATTGCAAATTTAGTATACAAAATGTGGGAATTGACTAAGCAAACAAAAACCAAGCATAAATTTATTAATTTACATGGAAAGTCGACGTTTTGCTCGTCAACAGTTTTCTTGGACGATCATTTCAAGGCAATTTATTAAATCCAAAGGATACATCAACTGTTATCAAACACTATAGTTATGAAACTTGACGTATCCTTTGGATTTAATAAATTATCTTGAAAGGAGCCGTCCAGGATAATTGTATACGAATGATGTGTTGATTTTTTATAGAAATTAATAAAAGACGTTTTTATGTATAATTTTTATATGACTGCTTAGCCTATTCCCATATTANAACAGCTAAGAGGGTCTGTCTTAAAGTTGTTTTAAACTCGAAAACTCTTTTAAGGGTGTAAAAAACTGTCCTTCAATTATTTTAATTTCAAGGATGTTCATCATCCTGTGAAAGAGTAGTTGTTCAATTATTTTATTTTATAAACCGCTAACCAGGGACAACAGGGTTGTAGGAAACGGGATGTTTTTCAATTATATTAATCTCGGAAATTATAACTGTGAGAAATATGTGATATTTCTTTATTTTAATCTCAAAAATCTTAAACCAGTTGATAGCATTTATTTTTTAATTAGAAAATCGAAACTGTTTTTCAATTATTTTAATTTCAAGGATGTTCATCGTGTGAAACATGGTAGTTTTTCAAATATTCTATTTTATAAACCGCTAACCAGGGACAACAAGGACTGTCTTTAAGTTGTTGTAAACTCAGTACTCTAAGGTTATAGGAAACGGGATGTTTTTCAATTATATTAATCTCGGAAATTATAACTGTGAGAAACATGAGATATTTCTTTACTTTAATTTCAAGAATCTTAAACCAGTTGAAAGTAGAAGTTATTTTTTAAATTAGTTTAATATCAACGACTTTAAACCTGTAGGAGATCATTGGGGAACTTTTTTTTATTATTTAAATCTCAACAACCTTAAATCTGTTGGAACAAATATTAAGGCAAATAA